ATAAATACCATCATGAGAAGCTTCACGGGCAAACTACACCGTAGCAAAAATATCTGAACAGAGAAGTCTTAAATCATGGATTCAGGTTCTAGATGGTGGATGACAATTTGTTTGTAACCTGAAATTATACAATAATAGGTTGCTCACCTGAAGTCAGATTTCATACTTTGCCTTTAGTGTCTTACAGACAGTCGTCACCTTTAATAAGATGAAGTTCACTTGATCTGCATCATATAAACAAATGTTTAGAGCTTAAGAAATTAACAATCAATCATCACCAAAAATGACCAAAAGTATGACTAACAGATATACATTGCAAGGGAAAAACCCTTAAAATCTATGTCAGAGATCAAGTAGGATATTTTTTTTTTTACTTCCAAAATCAGCTGCTAAATAATCAATTTGAAGACAGGAATCAACTTATTAATTATAGATTACATCTAAATTAGAAATATTCTCTTTGAAGTGCAAAACTGGCTACAATTCATATGTATAAGACATGTACATGTAAAAAGTAGTCAACACTGGCTTGAACATCATGTAGTAACAGTATTGTCAAGTAACCACTATTTCAGTTGAGAATTTTCAGTTAATTTTCTAGCATGTATTTGGAAGTTTTCAATTAAGAAAACTTGATAATATCCATTCTTGGCTGTGTATCAAGATACAGATAGAAGTGGGCATTTTAAAAATAAGCTTGTGCAAAACTAGGTCTTAGCAACATAGTATGCATAATTTAGTACTAGCTGCTTGGAAATGAGAAACAAAGGTATACACCTGTTTCTTAAGCAGCACTTTTCAAGATATATAATGGCTTTACAGGGACAGAAAATACTGTCAGAAATATTTTTCTAAGAGTATATGAAAATCTCACCAGTTCCAAGTGAAATGTGTAGATAAGACTACTAACGGGGAAACTAACCTTACACTTTTTCTCTTATCAGTGTTATGACCAGAACTAATAACATAGCTAAACTAAAATATATTTTCAAGGTTTTAGAAGGTAAAAGGTAGCTTGATGCTTGTAGCTTGAGAAAGAAAGTGAAACCTTTTCATTTAGCTGTCTCTAAAGTCTAAAAGCAATTTTGCAAAAGATGCCATGGAAATAGTATTGAAAAATCAGTGTAATGCACTGGTGTGCTGGTATGGACTGGGGTAGAGTTAATTTTCTTCACAATAGCTGGTATAGGGCTGTGTTTTGGATTTGTGCTGAAAACAGGGTTGATAATATAGAGGTGTGTTGGTTATTGCTGAGCAGTGCTTAAGCAGAGCCAAGGCCTTTTCTGCTTTTTGCAGTGCCATGCTGGCGGGGAAGTTAGGGATGCTTGGGAGGTTGGGAACAGACACAGACAGGACAGGTGACCCAAACTGATCAAAGGGATATTCCAGGCCATATATCATCATGCTCAGTATATCACGTGGGGGGTAGAAGGAAGAATGGGGAGATGTTTGGAGTGATGGCTTTTGTCTTCCCAAGTAATTGTTCTGTGTGATGGGGCCCTGCAGCCAACGGCTGAACACCTGCCTGCCCATGGGAAGCAGGGAATTAATTTCGTGGTTTGCTTTGCTTGTGTGCATGGCTTTTGTCTTCCCTATTGAACTGTCTGCATCTCAACCCACAAGAGTCTTGTAGCTTTTACCCTCCTGATTCTCTCCCCAATCCCTCTGGTGGGAGAGCAAGTGAGCAGCTGTGTGGTGATTGGTTGCTGGCTGGGGTTGAACCACCCTAATGGAGATGATTCCAGGTTGATTTTTAAGGGTAAAATGCTAGTCCTCCTGGCACCAGCAGCAAAATCTGTATTTAATGCCAGAGAACCTTCACCTTTACTTGAAGTCCTCTTGCTTCACAGCACAACTATGATAACAAGCAGTAAAAATGCACATCTCACTCCTGTCTATATCAAACATGAGACATCAAAACAGTGTAGATATAACTATATTTCAGATGAAAAGATAATTTTCTCCTTGATTTCTACTGAACTCGCCCATTAAGGTTGAGTCTAATGGCTTTTTGTACTGCACTCAAGTTGTGAGCAAAGTTCTGACACAGGAAATGAAACTTCGGAGTTCTTTCAGTTGCTCTCCAGATAATAAAGCATTTTTGTTGCTACAGAAAATTCAGTTCGGCAACTCAAAGCTGAAAGACTCATTATACAGTAATGAAACCCATGAGATGATTATTTTAAAAGTTCTAATAGGCAGACTCTTAGATATCTAGGAAACAGCAAACCAACTGCAGGTTTGACACTTGCTTGTGCATGGCTTCTAAGTCACAGATTAGATCCAAGAGCCCTAAAGAGCACTATTAAATTTCAAATCTAAAAGGTATAAAATTTACCTTAAAGTGTCATTTGAAATATTCTGCTAAAATATTCTGCTAAATGGCTCTTTAATGAATTATGGAACTAATGTATTCCACATGTTTATGGTATTCTCTTTTTCAAAAAATAAAAATAATAAGGAAAAAAATCACAGTTTCATGTTTTGGAGGTAGAATTAATTTATGAAGAATTTGCCAAGATGTTCTGCAGGGGTTTTTTGCTGGTGCTGCATTTTACCAGCAGAAGCAAAAAAGGATTCTTCAACAGTTTAGTGGAAAATCAATTATAAATTATGTGAGGTACCTCCAAAATTTTCCACTGGAATGGGAACATATCCATTCATTTTCTGTAAAGCAAAATGGCAAAGTTCCCTACAAATTTCTTCCAATTTTTCACCTCGATTTTTAACTAGACTCAATGATATTTTTGTTTCGTTTGGGCTTAAGACATCTTTTTACAAGACAGTTTTGTTTGTTTTTCATGTAATGTTTTCCCATTTCACTTAGGTGGTAATTCTATTTGAGTAATGCCCATGAAATCTATTAACTTCAGTCTTCCTGAAACTGAGTTATCTTTTGCAGTGAATACCACATGGAGATTTTGGAAAAGACTTCATTTAGTTTTTATTGGGCTTTTTATCTGGTGTGATAAAGGCCAGTAATTCTGAAAGAGGTAGATGAGAATTTTATATTTGAACTGCCAGAGAACTGCAAACAATCTGGAAACATGGAATAAATTCATGTGCCTTGTCTGCCTGAAGAAACAATACTCCTTCAGGTAAAATATCTATCCTATTAACATTCATAGCCCTCTTTAAAGAAATAAAAATCCATTTCAGTTGTAATTGGAGTCCATGTAACCGAAGCAAAAAATAATCTGCAACTGCTAATCAATACCTCGTATGTGTAAGCTCTGGTGTTCAAGAGACAGAAGTCTCTGGCTCTGCTGGACTAGAACCACCTCTGCTTGTATTGATGGGGTAATTTTAGAGATGAAGAAGTTGCCTTTGAGAAGGAAGCACAACACCCAGTCACAAGATAGATGGATGTACACTAAATATATTTGTAATATGAATGCAACTAGATATATTCCTTGTATGAGGGCATTCCAGAAATACCTCCAAAAGGAGTACATCAACTATATTTTCAGTCTGGTAAGTTCACCACTAGTATGCTTACTAAACTTTTTTTTTTTTTTATTTTATTTATTTTTTTTAATGAGAAGACAAAAATCAAATAAAAGAAAAAGAAGGAAGCTACCTGAAGATCTTCAGGAAACAATAGCCATTCTTGGACTAAGTTTCAAAGAAATGACAGAATAGACTTCCTGCTTAAAACTGAGCTCCTATTTTTATCATTTATAATAAATACCAAATCAAAACCACAACAAAACAAACTAACCAACCAACAAACAAACACACAAACAAACAAAAAACAAACCCACACCCCCCCCAAAAAATAAGAAAACAAACCCAAAAGTTATTACTAAAAACCCTGCTCTTTTCACACATAAATGTAAGTGAACATATAAAATATGATACAGGAGCAAATTGGAGGCCTTTCTCACCCCTGCCAAATGACTTCACATTTAGAAAATTAAACATTTGCATTGACAGATTATTCACATCAAATGTCTCCAAAAGGAAGAAACTGCCCTGGTGTTTTACGAAATTGATTGACTTAAAAGCAATTCTCCAAGTCATAGGAAAATAAACCTGCATATTAGGCCATGAAGACAGCACAATCCTCACAAGTGGTCGCCTACTCTTAAAACTTTAAGCCTTCAGGGTCTGAAAAGAATATATACTGTCATAATCAGCCCATTGCCTCTACTAGCAAAAGTTAACAGCATCCACTGTCTGAAGTTTGAATTCCTGCAGCCATTCCCTGTCTAGTGTAAAAACTGTGGTTTTCAATGCCATCTTCAAAGCTCATTGCTGTTTGAATACTCACACTTTGGGTGACTTCAGTAATATTCCTCCAACACTTGTATCTCAATTCTGTTTTGAAGAGAACAGAAGTCTTGGATCTGCCTCTCTCCAGAGGAAAAAAGAAAAAAAAGGGAAAGAAGCAGCTCTTATTAAACTCCAGACAGAATAAAATCAACCTTTTTTCCTAGATGTCTAAAAATGATGTATGCCTAAAAATACCTTCTCCAGATCATCTATTCCTCCTTTTCTATTCTTCCCCATTGCTAAATCATTGATCCAGGCCCTCATCATCTCATCTAGGGATTCACTTTATCCAACTGCAGCCTGATAAAAATTTATCTAATCTAAACTACTTGCTTTTGTTGTCTATATATAGCTAGAGTATATAAACACACACTTCAGAGACAGATTTATCCCAGCCCAGAACAGAGGTCTCAGATGGCAAAGACACATGCAGAGCCTGGATGTGAAGATCTGGAATAAAGCCCAACCCAAAGGTTATGCCTGGGTTCTGGGACTGAGTAAACAGATTAGCACTATTCATACTGATTAGAAAGAAGGCAAAAGGGATTAACAGGGAAAAGATTAAGTCTTCATTTATCCATATCAGATTTGAGGTAACATCTGGAAATAGGTAGAGAGAAACAGTAATTTAAGTCAGTAAAGTGAAGCACATTTTAAAATATCTAGCTGGAGCATGACCTTAGTGCTCTGACACTATTTTTCAAATTCAATGTTTATTCTCTTATAAAAAGTATTTGGAGGTATTATAATAATTACCATCACCATCCAAAGCACAACTACTACTAATCAATTCTCTCTTTCAATTCCTTTCTATTGAAGTCCAATGCCATTTTTAAGACCTGGAAAATAAGTTCATGCAGCTTTCAGGAAAAAAAATGTTTTGGTTCTCTGCTAGGCAACAATATATATGGTTTCTCTTAATGTGTTTTTATTTAATCACTGTAACTGGCATGTCTCCTGTGTGCTACCACTGAAACTGTGTCATTAATCTGGAAAAGGTCAACTACAAAACAAAATTTTAAATTGAGCTAAGCACAGTTCAGTTATATTATTCTATAAAAAATGTGAAGCACGTTCAGCACACTGAAGAACCATCTAACCTTTCCTTTATCTTTCCTCTTCACAAAATCCTTATGGATTGGTGTGCCCCAGAGGATCTCTGTTACAGTTTCTGTGTTTAATGCACCTGTAATCCATTGTGTTTCTTTCCTTGGTCCTATTTAAGTCTTAAAACCTTGAAATGACACAATATTCTGATAGTAAGACCTTTATTTTCTCTCCAACCAAGAGAAAATTGAGCCTGTGGGTCCTTGAGATGGTCTCTGCAAGGCTGACTTCACGGTGGAACTTCTATCCATGTTTTCACGGGGACAATGTCAGGACTAATAAGTGCAGAGTCATCTGTAATCCTGTTAGCCATCACCTACACAGAACAATAATAACTTCAAAGAAAACAAAGCAATGAAGAACTTCTATGCAGATCCAGTTTATCAGGAAGGCAATCATATTCTACATGAGGAACCCATATAGAAGTGTTGGAGAGCCTGTTTGAATTCAGGTCTTTTCACCTGTCTCTTTGCCTAGTGCAGAGCCATGTTCTATATTGGAATATACAACATCAACATTTCATCCAAAAGCGTTGGGACAGACAGTTTTAAGAATGTGATCTGCTGGACCTCTTTAATCTAATCAGATCTGTATGATTTATTTCTCAGAGAAAACATACTATGGATCAGCCTTGGCAACTGAGGTTAATCACCCTGAAAACCTCCCTGAGTCCATGAACTTTCCCCAGTAACCTTAGTACCAGCAGAAAATGTTCCTTTACCACCTTTTTTACGCAGGAAGATAGTTCCTGGAAATCTCAGAAATATTTGCTAAGCTTTACAGCATTAGTATGATGCTCTTCACATGTCCTGCTTTCAAATTACTCCAAAGTATTGGTTTTTTTTGCTTTCTTCTTCAATATTTAAAGCTCCATAAAGTACAAAACAATGTCTAATTCTAGAATAGCTTCATTACTAGAAGAATTTTACTAAAATTACTTTATCAATATACTGAATTACAGTTGATAGATAATTTATTACAGTTAGCTTTTTTCCTAGAAAAATATAAATTTAGAATGCTGTGTAAGGTGTTCATTCATTATTGTTCATAGACTCTGTATCAGACATACTTACCTCTGTTTAAATTTATCCCTAGAACGGCAGATGGGAAGGCTGAAGGCTTAAGATTTATCTACTCTTTTATGTAGAGCATTTCCACTGAAATAAACAGAGTTTTGTGTAAGCTCTAAGGTACTTTTTCATATCTGAAGAATAAATTTCTCCTGTTTTCAAGTAGGATCAGAGTACAGATGACTTTTGACCACTCTATATAAGTCTAATACTGTTTCAGCTTCTCAGCTTCTTGAAGTGGGAGAAAATCTAGACTTCCATTTGTATGACACTGATGATTATTGCTTAATTGTCCAATTGATAAAACAAGAAGTGCAGAGAGCCTTAGAAGAGACAGATTCTAGTACATCCCCAAATTATATACCCAGCAGAATGCCCATCATTGCAAATTATATCCTATCAATGTTTGCATGAAATGCAAACCAAATCTGATGGTATTCTCCTGGCAAAATATGGAGGCAGAAATGCTTCCAAATATTTTTTCTCCCACTACTTACATTTTCTTTTAATTCTTCCATCAGTTAACTACCAGGCCCAAGCTGAAAACAGTTTTGTTCTCAGTTAGGTATCAAAATTGGAAGTGGTTCCCAGATCTGCCTCCTGTTCCTACTGCCTCTTCTCCCATGTACTACACTATTGCACTTGTTTCACCAAGCAGCTTCTTTCTCTCCCTCTGCTCCTGTCACCTCAGACTTGTTATCTGAACATCACTATTTCTTCCATGTAAGGAAAGGCCCAGTCTTCCCCCTCACATCCCCATCTTTTCTGTAACCACTCAATATTGTTTTGACAGCATCTTTGCTAAAAATTGGTTCATAAATTTCGTCTAGTGAGTCATTCAGCTGTTTATATCTGGCTTAGCCAAAAAAAAAAAAAAAAAAAAAAAGGTTGGGAGAGGAAGGATGTTAGGTGAATTCTCTAATAGCACTTAAAATCATCACAGCTCCCAAGCGAACACTAATTGTCTTTAATGAGTTTCCAAGAAACATTATAGAACACTTCTAGCCATTAACCATACTTCTATTCCTAGATACAAGAACCTCTATCCTGACAGAGTCTGATGCCATGTGAAATAAGCCTTCTCCATAAAATATTTAATAAACCTTCAGAAGAAGAATAGCTGATAATGGACTACCTCTAAAAATCCGTGAAAAGGAGAATTTAGTCGTTAGATTTCATTTCTTCTTGACTTTCAAAACAGATTATGCAAACAACATAGCCTACTGCACATCAGAAAAAATAGCCACATACTAAAATTGAAATGAAAAATATGTGGTGATATTATTCCAATAAGAATTATACTGGATTTTTTTTTGTTCATTTGCAAAAATAATTAGTTCCATCACCATTGAAATGAACAGGTTCCAGTTATCACTGAAGCTTCTGAAAGGTGTATGTGGATAAAGAATTACTGTAGTTATAAGTACCTATATAGTATTTAAATATTACCTATGTTACTTAATTCATGAAGGACAAATGTACATTATATGTAATAATCTCTCCCATATAAGATAGATAATAAAAAATTTCTTGCTCTGGATAGACACAGTCTCTAAGACAAATTCTATTTACTTTATTCATCCTAAAACAAGAAATGTAATAAAAATTCGAACATTCTACATAATGATGCTTGTATAAATTAGGCTGGGTTTGCCCCTGATGTTAAAATAAAATAAGTTCCAGAAGGACAAAGAAAAATAATTTAATATAGAACATACGTATCAATCAATAGTGAAAAATCTCATTAGTTTTCAAAGTCTACCTTAGAAGCTATGGATATTAACTGGTTTCTCCTCATAAAGCTTGATGTTTCTTTTATATTCAGTAAGAACTGTGAATTTCCTAAAAATACTTATATAACATACAAGAAAAGTTTGAGTTTGAGGAAAAAGTAAAATCCCTGTGAGCTGAAATTTAATAGATTGCAGTTGGTTGCTCCAAACTCTTTGTGGTCAAAAGCATTTTAAAAGCACAGAGTTATTGCACGATGAGTAAGTCAAGTTTTCTTTCCTTTTTTTTTTTTTTGGTTGGTTTTTTTTTTTTTTTTTTTTTTTTTTTTTGGTTTTTCCTCTCCAGTGTAATTTCTTACCAGGAATTGTCACCTTGAACAAGTCTTACATTAACCCAAAATGCCAGATGTTAATTTCCCTAAACTGTTTTTGTGTGACAGCCTTTACAAAAGTACCATAGAAGCCATAAGCCCAGTTTCAGGGATACTGAGCACCCAAAGCTCCAGTTAAATCAGTGGTGGCTGGGGATATTGGGTGGCCTTTAAAAACAAGTTATAAGGCAATGCTGCTGACATACTGAAAGTAGCCCTGGAAGCTCCAAGTGCAGAGAACACCCATTGACTCATCTGGTATTTCCATACATGAAAAATTGGAAAACTGCTTTCTGTTCTCAGGAGGTGCCTGAACCTCATTCAGTCTTATTATGGACTTTCTTAGTGTCCATCTCCCAAATACACTTATGCATCTTAAGGTAAGCTAAAACTAACCTCTGCATTTTTTTGTGCTTTTATGTGTGCCCATACATACACAAATTCCTCCATACTGTATTTTGAGGTAGCAAACGTAAACTCCTTTTGTTACTTAGAGACCAGCCCAAAAGAATGGATACAAGATGAAAGAGTTGATCTACCACCTGCAGAAGCGGCAAGACAGTGACATTACTACTATTCACCTGCCACGGTTGTCACCACTGTCATTTTGGTGAGGTCTTTCAAGTTTGATAATCTGGGCAGATTCCCCTTTACTGGAACACTACCACATTTTTGACAAAATCACAGTCTTACAAATTTCTGCAAAACCACACAGATGAAAAACTCAAGTTTAATGGAGATTGCACCAGTATTACTAGAAAAATATTTTTTTCAGTCTGGGATTCCCAGAGCCCTGTGCACACTTCTGCTAGCCACCAGAAAGGTGGAAGAAATGGAAAAAGGTCTGGTAACATGTGGTTCACAATGACAATCTCCAAATGTATGGAAGGCATGAAATGCCCCCATATAAAACAAAAAATCTTGACTTCTTTGCATAGTCAGAAAAGTAGAAGTGATAAGAGGGGTGTGTGGAACTAAAAATAGGTGAGAAAAATGGGTCCAATAAAATGACAAAAAAATTAGCACTAAATCTGCCAAATGCCAAAATTTCACAACTGACTTTCAAGAGTAAAAAAGTAATTTTTCTCCCCATTATTAGAGATGTTTTGCAAATGCAAAGCTACATCAGACAACAAAAGAAGAGGGTTTTTATAGTGGTTTGCTTTAATGGAGAAAAAAATCCTCCTAAAACAGCTGCAAAAATGAAGCTTTCTTAAGTGCTCCTTAATGAAATTGGACAGTATTGAGCTGAGACCCAAAATTGTGTAAAAGGGGTTTCTCCTGCAAATATAGATCTTACACAGTATTCTGAACAATCCCTTTTAGCCAGTGGCTGGCACGGGGATAAAATCTTCCAGAACTTAACTTTGACCATTCTCCATAAGGCTAACACTGTTTCAGCTTCTCAGCTTCTTGAAGTGGGAGAAAATTTAGATTTCCATTTATGTGACACTGATAATTATTGCTTAATTATCCAATTTATAAAACAATAATTGCAGAGAGCCTTAAAGGAGACAGATTCTAGCACATCCCCAAATTACATACTCAGCACAATGCCCATCATCAGAAATTGTATCCTATCAATATTTGCGTGAAACAGAAACCAAATCTGATGGTATTCTCCTGGCAAAACAAGTAGGCAGAGATGTAAAGGCCTCAAAAATGACAGGTTCTAAAATTTCTTGTCTCAATCTGCATTGAAATGCTGACTTACACCTTTATGAAAGGACAAGGAACCAAGTAAATTGCCAACAACCGCTCCCTGTCCAAAAATAAGTCAATGTTTACTGAATTTCTGGATATACAACAAAAGCTCCAGAATTACAAAAGCCACGTCAGCAAAGTTTTTTGGTCAGACAGAAATCAGATCAGCTGGTGAAGATCTTTTCTGATCTCTCCATCTCAGGAATACTTCCTTTCATCCAGCTTCTCCCAGTGGCTGTATGCATGCTTTACGAATGAATGGTGTACGAATGAGAACGTTACAGTTAATTCAGTGGTAAAGTAAAAATTAAAATGCTTCTGTCCACTCCCCCCTCATTCTTATCTCAACTGTTTATAGTGCACTGTAAACAGATCATTGAAACAAACAAAAAAAAGGCCAGCCGTGTAGCTCTATCAGCACAACGGAGGGTGAAGGTCCGAACCTCTTTAGGCCAATTCATATTCCAGTTGGCATGGTAAAACATGGTGAAAAAGGTAGCAAAAAAGGGTTTATCTGCAGGCAGATAGTTCACTAAGTTGACTTACTGTGCAAATAGGAGATGGACTTGGTGATCCTTGTGGGTCCTTTCCAACTCAAGCTTATTCTGTGATCCTGTGAAGCGGTCTGTCCCTAATGCCTGTAAAGGGGAGATTGCAGGACAGAGACATACCATCAGAAGGTGGGGCACGAGTGAGACTGCTGTTCCAGTGACAGCCCTCACTCTTGCTGCATTCAAGTGACCATAAAATCACTCCCTGAGAAGAAAGCAGTGTATGGCACTGTGGTTGGGTGACACTTGTGTTTGGAACTTCCTGTTGTCTGCTTGTACAGGGACACAAACGGTACCCAGGACTCTTCAAGATCTCATCTTCTTCAGTTGTCCTTCCACTGTTCCCCTTGTTCATTTTCTACCACAGATGGCTCAATTCCTTTGTCTCCGTGAAATTGGGTTCTATCTATGCAGGAGAAGATCCATTACTCCTCAAGTAAGGAGCATACGGGTTTGTACATATTTTATTCTGCAGGCAGTCCTACACAGGATTGGTGTGACAATGTTTTTGTCTATTTTTAAATGGGAGATAACGAACATACGTTAAGAGAAAGTGATTTGACTTCCAACAATATACTTCAGGTCTCAGAAGTATCCATGTCTTATATATCTATAGTCATTCAGAGGTAGGACTTCACATCAACATTCACTTGTAAACATGAACTTATTTTGCTTTGTGATGTAACGTTATGCAGACAGCTAAGACCTACGGCCTTAATATGAAGACATTAGACAGTACTTACAAGAGAGATAGGTAGATTTTGTCAACCTGACCACAGCCCATAGCATTAAAATATTAGACCATAGAATAGAGTAACTATGGGATCAACCAAGAAAAATCGAATTGAAAGACAAGAAAAGAATCTTTAGTTAAAAAAAAAAAATTTTTTTTTCACTAAAGATTTTTTTTTCGCCCACTAAACACAGCTTTTTTCATATGAATAAAATAGAAAGGAGAAAAGTACAAAGGGATTTTTGTGTATTTGGTCACCTTTAACATTCAGGAGGACAAATAGTCTACAAGTTTGATGTGGTATTGACACAAGTAGTATCATTCTAATTAAAATGGAACATTGAACTTTTATTGGAGAACAAGAGCGATGAGTGCCGAATGGTGACTTTCTGTTTAAAATATTTGGAAGACAGGCTCACACTATGACCTGCTTCCAGTTTCCAGTGGTATTAGGGATGAAGCCAGTATAAATCCAGTTGTCACAAAAGAAAAAGTTATAGTATATATTAAACCACAAAAAAATACTTTCAAATAACATTAAGGGTATGACTTAAGCCCACAAAAGCCAGGAAATTCAGAGTTAGGGCTGCAAGTCTGTCCTCAACTCACCCCATTTTGTTTAGGTATATAGCAGATCTGAAGAGAGCTACCTGAAACATTATGGGTTTAGTTTACAAGGGATTACCCAAAATCTGGTATTCTTCTGTGCTGGGTAGAGTTTGCCTGTTAAAAGCTGACAAAGCTTTCTCATGGAATGGAAGATTATATGACAAATAAACCACCTCTTATGCATTAAATGTTAATAATAGAATGCATACATCCCTTTACTTGATTAACTTTGTGTTAATGTTCCTGAACTTCAGAGAGTTGATTCCTTTTGGAGATGTGTGCTGACTAGTGGACTAGCCTGTGTCACACATTTAGCTCTGGAATGAGTGAGCAGGTGATCACAGTCACTGATATTTGAATATGCTGAAGAAAGCAGCCAAAACACTAATAAAGCAAAATCGATTGATAACGAGCAATGAATCTCTAGTAGAGAATATGTGATCATTTGATAAAAGTGATGAAATTCAACAAAAAGGGTACTTAAAAAGTAGCAACAGGTTAAGAGATGAGCTTGAGAAGCAACTTGAAATAGATAATAAGCTACAATATTGAGTTGAAGGAGATTTTCATCTGAATACCCAAGAAAAATATGACTTGTATCAATTTGAATTGAAGGTGTAAGGAAAGAGAAACAGAGAAATATATGTTTCATTTAGCTATAGCTAAAGTGAAGAGTGACTACTTTCTCAAACACTCTAAGCTTTTGTATGTTTGCTATCATGAGTTTAAAAATATTCAGGATTTTCACTAACGTTTGTCCAGTCTTTGAATCATTCTAGGAAATATTTTGAGTAATTCCTTCATCCCTGAAGATACACCATATTTCATCATCTATTTCATCATCTTGTCTTTGAGAGGTATTACATTCTGAGGTGAAGTTACATGAAAAAATATAATTTTTTGCCAACATAAGAGCATTTACTCAAGTTTTTCTGTACTCCTAATAATGTAACACACATACACACACAAATTACACAGGACTTTGGCTTCATTTTCTACATAATTTTTAAGGAAGTCAGTAACAGCTGGTTTGGGTCCAATAGATAACACCCTGTCACTGTCAGTCCCTCCATTACATTTCTGAGGAGCACATCAGTGACTTCATCATAGCAGAATCGTGTGCTGACTGATCTCTAAGGTTCACTCAGGTATTGATTCATGCTTTCCAAAAATTCAGACCATGAGTTATTTTAAGGTTTCCCAAGCATCTAAGAGAGCTGAAATGTGTCTAGAACTTGCAGTGAATTTCAAAACTTGATGAGTTTTAAGTAATTCCATGTTTCTTCATGTGAGATATACAGCAACCTGTGCTTTTTTGCAATAATTATGCAAAATAGCTCCATATGTCTTGGGTTGAAATCTGTATTTTAATTTCAAGACATAGCATAAATATTTAATAAAATGAACTGATATACATGGAATACACTTTTTAAAATCTTTCAGTGATAATTTGAAATTGTGGTGATTACTATCAGCTCAAAGTATATGTCTAAGGTTTGATTTCCTTACTTCTTGAATAAACTGAATTCTCGTAAACATACTGCCATCTATTTATAGAAATAGCACAAACGAACTGACAAGTTTATTTTAACTGGGATTATGTCATCCATGCTTGGAGTGAAGATGATGGAAGTACAAAGTTGCCATCATTCTCCCAATTCACATTTAAAGTATAGAACCTACTCTTCCCATGAAGTCCAATCTCATTCAGTTTTCAGAGTGAGACTGAATAGTTGCCAAAGAAAAGGTTTTTCTTCTTTTAAGCCTATAGGTTTGCATCAGATCAAAAGTAAAAAAATAGCTGAAACAGGCAGGCTACACATAGTTCCCCTCCAAAGAATAAATTGCTCCATATTTGCTGGAATTCCAGCTTATTTTGCCAAAACATTTGCAGTCTTTGTTAAATTGCATGACTTGGGGTTCATTTACAAAAAGTTTCATAATACTAAACACATACCACAAGAGATAAACTTTTTGACAGCAGTCTACGTTACCAGCATGCAGACAATCAAGTTACCATGCACCAGTTGAAATTCTATTACATTTTCTGTTTGTTTTCTTAGCTAGCCTCTTTCATATGCAAGGCAATATAACCTTTTTCCTCCTTTTTCCTTGAGACTTAAGCTAGGTTTTATTAATTTATGACTGACTGGCTCAGAGGATACAGAAATTCAGTTACCAAGACCTAAAAAAGCTTCTGTAATTCAACCATGTGCCTGAACATTCATGTTGGATGACCTTGTATTTGCTTTGAGTTGAGAACATCCTCCATGCTGTAACTGTTGTTCTGCTTATGCATGATGTCTTGTTAAACTAATGTGACTTTGTTGTGAGCCTGGCCTTGCTGAAGCCAGTTTGTACAAGGCAGTGTTTTCAGGAAATCACAAGCACAGATATTATTGGAAAACTGACCTGAGTTTAATTCCCTATGGAGACATTTTCTTCTTCAGTAAACTTAATTTAAATTCTATGTGCCACTTACCTTCTGAATAGAAAAATATTTTAACCTTTAGCTTCAGTCACTAACTCACCAGAAGAAAATGAACAGGAATTAACTTACAGTAGCATGTTCTGAAATATTAAAAAGCATAGTCATTTAACTCAGGACAATATTCTCACCTGTCACCTAAAACTCTATTAAATTCAGAGTTCATTACAAGCCCTAAGTACAATCGATGTTCCTTGAAAGGGCTGCAAATATTCTGAACAAGCCATGACCCAGTTTTCAGCACAGTTGAGCCAAACTATTTTTGCTGTTTAAATAAAAATAACAAAAATGCACATTTTTGCATAGTTTCAGCACAAAATTCAGGGGGCAGAAAGGGGAAGAACTGTGGGCTGAGATGAGTTTCACTTTACAGTTTTGGAAGAACCAAAACTCAGAGTTAAATGAGCATGGTGAGTGCACAGAACCACAGGAACCAAAACCAAAGAAAAGGTTGGGATGGAATGTTATTACAGCTTTTATATCTATCAGGGTAGCTGGGTACTATCTGGCCCATATGGTAATAGTATTTGAATAATGCATTTTGTAGTGATTTTTACATGTGATTCTCACCAGTCAAGCCACTACTAGAATGCTGTGTGTAATTCTTGGTGCCCACACTTCAAAAAAAAAAAAAAGATGTTAAAAAATTGTGCAGGGCTCAGGAAAACAAAACAAGAATGAATCATAGTGTGGAAAATTAGTCATAGAACGACTGAACAGAAAAGCTCATTCTAGTCAGTTTGCCCAAGAGAAGATAACTAGATGACCTGATAATGGCCTATTAGTGATTAAATGAGAACACTTTTGATAGTAGTTTTGTTGATTTTTTTAATTAAAAAAAGATAAATATCAAGAATTAATATCTGGAAATTGAACCCTGTCAAACTGAGAACAAACATAAGGTGCATGTTTCAGATTATCAAGATAATAACAAATAACAAGTGTTATGGTGAAATCATTCACCACTTTAAGTCATTGAATGAAAAACAAAAGTCTTAAATTGTTTTTCCTAAATCCATCAAAAGGAGCTTAACACTAAGGTTATTAAGACAAGATTTAAAATAAGATTTTGATAACCTCAGTCACAAGACATGCAAAACAGAATGGAAAAATTCCCACAAATGTCAGTGTATGAGACCAACAGATGACTAACCAGTTGAAATGTTCAACTTCTCTGAAAGTTCTGATGATTTTTTATTAATTCTAATCTAAATTCCATCAATACTATTTTTCCTGCTGACTTGAAAATGCATAGTGTAAAGTAAATTTGAGGACTTCTGAAAATC